AAGGACTTCATTATAAAAGCGGTCGCTATAGCCAGTTGGTAACTGATGCACCGTACCATACTGAGATATGATAGGTCTAGATGGAGTTTGGGCGATGATGGCAGATTTGTCGAGCATGACTTACTCCTTTTGTGATGCCACTAACTTCAATGATTATTTGTATACAATAAAACCTAATATTAAATTACATAACGTACAATTTAACGAGCAATATTCATGCCACATATTTTATAATATTGATAATACGCTGTTTTTGGCATAGAAATTGAAATAAGCTTTTCTACAAATAAAATAATTAATTTGAAATATAAACTATTATTGTATACAATTACTGAAAAATTTTAATCGTAGGTTTGCTATGAAAATCCATTTAATCAACCCCAACACCAGTCAACACATGACCGAGCAGATGCAGGAGAGTGCCCAAGCTGTTGCTAATGCAAGCACAGAAATCGTCGGTAGAACGCCAAAACATGGAGCTGTGTCGATTGAGTCGCATTTTGATGAAGCGATGAGCATTGTTGGAGTTGCTGAAGAAGTAAGAAAGGCAGATAGCGAAGGGGCGGACGGCATGATTTTGGCGTGTTTTGGTGACCCCAATATCTGGGCCGTGAGAGAACTGACCGACAAACCTGTGATTGGCATTGCTCAAGCTGGCTTTGTGATGGCAAGCATGATAAGTACGCAGTTTGCTGTAGTAACGAGCCTACAACGCACCGTAATTATCGCTAAACATTTGCTTCAACAATACGGCTATAGACATCTTTGCCCTCAAGTACTGGCAGTCGATTTGCCTGTACTCGCCTTAGAAGATGACACCGCACTCAAAGCAATAATCAGTAAATCAATACAAGCCCGTGATAATGGTGCAGGGGCGATTGTGTTGGGCTGTGGTGGGATGTCCCATTTGACTGATACGATTGAGCAAGCGGTGGGTATTCCTGTGATTGATGGGGTAAAAAGTGCAGTGAAACTGATTGAAGCAATGGTCGGTATGAATTTAAAAACCAGTAAGCATGGTGATTTGGCGTTCCCAATTGCTAAGCCATTTTTGGGAGACTTGCATCGTTTCGGTGCATAATAGTGGTTAAACAGACTTAGATTTTTCACTTTTCAAGGCAATTATTATGAGCGACTTAACCAAAACCACTGATGACCAAATGTACCAAATGCTATTTCGGGCGATTCACGAGCATTATCTCAAGCCTGACACGCATTTGCCTGAAGATGAATTAGCAAAAAGTTTTAATGTTAGCCGTACTCGAGTGCGTAAGATTCTACAACGATTGATTTATGAGCAGTTAGTGGTGCAATTAC